TCAATACTAAAATAGATAAAGCTTTAATTTCTTCAAAAATATCTGTTTTCCTAGTTTTTAATAAATTGAATTTAGCAAAAGTTCCATTAGCAACTTCCTGAGTTTTGACTACACCAAGGTTAGATGCTTCGAAAAGAAAATGTTGGTACTTTTTGTAAACCATTTAGTTTCTTAAAATAAATTCCCAAAATTGCTTTAAGATCTAAATATTGAAAACCTTTTCCACCTTCATAACATTGAGCCTTATTCAATCCTGCTGGACTAGACTTTTTTATTACCTCAACCACATGATCAAGACAATCTACTCTTGTTCTTCTATAGAGTTTTTTAATCATCCCAAAATTACCATCACATTTAAATTTAGTATGTCCAGGAATCAGAAATTCAATTCAATGCTTTCATAATAGCCACAAATTACCAAATATAAATAAAATCAAATAGTCACATTATTTTTATTTTGTCCACCAGCATTATCACAAGTAATTTTTAAATGCTTTTCACCTTTATTCAATTTCTTAATTCCATCAAAAATCATGCTAAGAGTGCCATTAGGACCTTTTCCTATGATTTCATCTTCATTAAGAACATAATTAATTTGTTCTCTTATTGCTTCATCTTGAATACCAAATAAATGAACTTTGCATGGACTAAGATAATAAATTTTACTTACTTGTTGATCTAAATGAGGCACATGAACATTTTGGGCTCAATCATAACTATAATGAGCAGTAGCATCAATACTGCAATATTGTGTTTTACCCTTTGAATAATTTTGATTAACTAATTTTCTTTGTTCTTCTGCCAATTTGGTATTTTTATTATAATAATTTCTTTCTACTTTGGCCTTGGACAAATGTTCTTTAAATCTTTTGAGCAGATCTTTAGCTTCTTCTTCTTGGCAAGCATTATAATGCAAACCATCTCTAAAATGCTGACAAGTATCACACAGATCAGTCCTGGGACTCATGATTTGAATTTCTGGTGTCAATTGATGTCATAACTTCCTGAATGCATCATACTTCAAAGATTTCAAATTATTATCTTCTTCTAGACCAGCTAGAAAATCTCTGTGGACTGATTTATAACTCATTTCAGCTGGTAAGAATGTAATTGATTGGGTTATTCTATTGATACTTCTTCCTGGACTTGGTAATCCATGAACTTCTGCATAATTTTCTAGAAAATTCTTTACTACTTCAGCGACATTTTTATCAATCATCATTTTAGTTTTCCATTGAGGCATTCTTTTAATATTACCATGGACTCTTGCTAGAAGACCATGGTTTATTAGATGATTTCTGATATTTTCAGAATAAGTTCTACCAACTCCTAACATATTGAGATAAGTTTCTTGACAAAGGGGTGTATTGTGATCCCAATGATAGAAAGTTCTTTTATTAGATCTGGTTTTCTTTTTGAGGCATCTGCTGGTGCTTATTGACCCACCATCCATTGCTTTAAGTTGAGCCATTAAAAATATGTCTTGTTCAGGACTTAGAAAGAGCTTGAAAGGATTCCCTTAATTCTGCAAATTCTTCTTTGGGAATTCTTGAAGAACAACCACATTTACAACCTTTTTCTAAAAAATCAATTGCTTTTTGATATTCATTAGAACCATTATATTTGTTACCTTTGTTAATACTTTTCATATACACTTATCCCTATATATATAATTTTATGTTCACTTTGTAGTTTTTTCATATATAGTTGTTTTAAAATTGAAGAGATAACAAAATTGGTCCTGTGGTGATGAGCAAAAGAATTAAATTTGAGTGGATCTGCAAATAAATATCAGAAATATTTTCAAGTATATGGGGGATTTCCAGGAATATATGGTTAGGGACCTCTCTGACCAAAATTGAGTTTTTTGCATAATATATATCTATATTATAAGGATTACAATTGGTGAGAAAATCAGATCATATTTGTTTAATAAAAAAATGAGTGATCGGGTAACAAAGAACTTTTTAAATTAATTTGTGTAAAATCTAAAAAGAGATCTACAACCCTATTTTTTATTGTTGCACCAAAATTCGATAAATAATATATATATATAAATAATACAAACAAAAAATAATAAATATTAATAATAAAATGACAAGTAATGATAATAAAATTTAATTAGGGTTTGGGCAAAGGATATCTTTATATGGATTATCTACATGCTGACAAATGTTATTATATAAATATTTTTACGGTCATCTGTTAAAGGAGCAACTTCAAGAAAATTCAATTGTGCATTTTTATCAAATCCATTATTTTTAAGGAGATTATAAGAATATTCTTCTCCACCAGATTTTTTTGAAAAATAAACTATTCCAATATTATTTGGTGAATTATTAAAGTGAAAATGATAATGCTTTTTTATAATTGGTAAAGTTCTAAAATGATCTTCTAACAATAAATAAAGTCATACCACTTCCAACCTAGTCTATTATTATATCTAATTGACTTATTATATTTAGATGAATTGTTTATAACTGTCTCTACATCATCACAGTATTTATATGACTGGTCTTGTATAATTTTTTAATAGATCCAAATTTAGCATCACAAATGAATTTTGTATGTCCAGGTATCATAAAATTTATATAAATGTTCTCATACAAACCCAACATTGTTAACCATGACCAAAACCAAAGTGACAAATTGTTTTTATTCTGTCCAGAACAATTATCACATGTGACATAAAGATCTTTTTTATCAACATGATGATTTTTTTGGAGAAAATCAAAAACCATATTTAAAGTTGTGTTGGCTCCCTTTTTTGATTTTCCTTCTGGTAATTCATCTTCTCCTATAGTATAATTTGATTGATCACTCTTAACATCATTTGTATTACATATACCAAAAATGTGTATGATGAAAGGGGATTTAAAATAAATTGATCCAACTTGTTGAGGGGAAAATGGAGCTGCAACACTTTGGGCCCAATCATAACAAATATGTGTTATTGTTGAATCATTTGTTCTTTTTTCAATTATTTTATTTATTATAATGGCCTCTTTCTCACTCTGCATCCATTTGATGCTTTTTATATTCAAATTTGATATTTTCTTTTTCATCATCATCATTTGCAAATTTTAAATTTGTCTTAAATGCTTCACAAGTGTCACAAAGGTCAGTTCCAGGTGGTTGGAATTTGATGTATGGTGTTAATTGTTTCCATAGTTTGTAAAATGTAGTATGTGCAATAGGTCTAATGGATTCATATTCTGAATTAAAAGATTTTTTAAATTCTTCATATACTGTGGTATATTTCATATATGTTGGCAAATAAATTATTTCTTCTAATTCATCTCTAATTTTCATAGGAGATGGTAATCCATGTAAATTTGAATATTGCAATAAAAAATTCTTAACTAATTGTGCAATTTCAAAATTAACAATTACATGTGACTTATTTTGAGGAACTTTATTAGTATTACCATGAATACAATCAATCAAACCATCAGTTCTTAAATGATCTTGCAAAGCTGATAATTTTATTTTACTAAAACCACATTGTTTTAAAAAAACTTGTTGACAAATAGTTATTGATGAGTTGTATTGATAATTATAATCAAGTCTTTTTGTTTCATCATTTTCATCATTTGATTTAAAGACCATCAATTGTGTTTTAATACAGAGATCTAGTTCATTTTTATCTAATCCTTTTAATTGGAATTGTCTTCCTAGAAAATTTTTAAGGCCAATTTTTTTAAAACATATTTTATCTTTCTTTTTACAACAACTACAGTTTGATTCATCTTCACCCAAATACTATGGAATTATCTGAAAATTTAATTTTCCCACATGAGTTATATGATTTAGGGTTAGAAGAATATGAACCAAATGAATTGGTGCTTAATACAGTTCAAGATTTGAGGTTATTTTTTGTGATCTTCTAAATTTATGACATCATTATGAATTGATTCAAAATTTAAATACATGATTTAATTATATTTTTTTGATAAATAAAAAAATTCGGCCATTTCACCAAAAATTTATTTTTAATAATTTTTGTCATACGTTGTCTAAAAGTTTTTGGGGTTCAAAACAATCAATTTTCGTGTAACAAATTTTCGGGAGTCATTTTTAGGGTTTGTATTCATGAATATCATAAGGGGGTCACGCAGGGTCACACACTATTAAAATCAAGTGATCAACTCATGTTATTAAGGGATTTTTTGCTGTTTTAATAGTGTGTAACCCCCTTAATGATATTCATGATATTCATGAATAAAAACCCTAGTCATTTTCTCAAAAGGTTTATTATGTTCCTAACCATATTTTGCTGGAAATCCCCCCATATATTCAATAATTGATATAAAAAAGAAATAAAAATCTTCAACTGGTTAGATTTAAGTTATTTATTATTACTAAAAATGGATAAGATAAATTATCTTGAGACCTGAGATTTATTGATCAGACAGACTAAAATTGATAAACAAATAAATAAAAGAGAATTATTGGGTGCCTTCAAAAATTATTATATTGAGATTGAGATTGAATATTTGATTGGATTGAGATTGGATTGAAATTGAAATTTTCAATCCATGATCAAAAATTATTTTATCAAGATGATCGATAAATATTAATTAAAAATGGAATTTTTATGTCTCTTTTCTCTTTTATTAATCATCAAAGAAATGAATTGGACCTTGAACCTACAAATACCAATGCTAATGATTTTAGTATTGATGACTTTGTTTTTGGGTACTTCAATATTTTCCGTTTTTTTTTATTATTTTGTTTGTTTTTTTTTTCAATCTTACTACCTGACCTAGATTGAAATTTCATATTAAAATTCGATCTCAATCTCAATCTCAGATCGAAATCAATCTCAATATGGAAATTTTTGAATGCAGATCGAAATCAATCTCAATCTCAATCTAATAATTTTTGAAGGCGCCCATTGTTATTTCTAAAAAAATGACTAAAGAAATTATTATTTTGTGTAAATATTAATTATACTAAAACAGTAAAACAGGTTTTTTTATTTTAAAATTAGTGTTTGTATGTAGTAGTAGTGCATGCAAATTTCAATCGTCTTTATACAAGTTGATTGGTTTTTTTTTTTTTTTTTTAATAAATCATGTGCATTTTTGCTGAACTTATTTAAATCTACTAAAATAAAAACAAAGCAAATGTTTAAATTTATTTTTTATCATAAAGAAAATATGATTGATTTGGACTGAAATTGACTATCAAAACATTTTACAAACATTTTTTAAAAAACATTAATTAAAAAAAATCCTTTAACAACTTTTTTACACATTTAAAACAAATATAATTACAAATAATACTACTTTTTAATAAATTGACTACACTTGTGTGATAGATTTCAATCATTAACATTGAAGAAACTTCAGAATTATTGAAATTAATGGCATTACAAAAGTGGATTAAAATAATAATTTTTTAATATAAATAATTATATAGATAATACTTAGCTTTTTGTTGTCATCTAATCCTTTTCTCATATACAAATTCCTTTGTCCTCACATTCATCACAATGATGATTCAATGCATTTGATATCATCATTGACATAACAAACAATTGCATCATCCAAGTAATAATAATACCAAGGCCATGCATAAACGAAGCTTTTAATAATACATGTCTACCCAGATCTCTGGGATTCACAATAATAAATTACTTTTCCTGATTATCAATTATGGTTGCTCATGAATAATAAATCTGATGTTGATTGCAGGTGTCAGATTTAATTAAAATTTCCTATCACCAACAAGCAAACTCCGTGCAAAGCATCAATTCAGCACCATGGAATTTTTTTTCTACAGTTGAAAGAGGTTTGAACAAGTTGGTAGGCTTTGGACAAAACATTCCCTTATCTCCCTCCAAGACCAAGCTGGATGTTACATATATGGGCATTGGTCACTGATAGCTGGCATTTGTGTGATGATTGCTGTGTGTTATACCCCTCACTAGCATAAAGTTGGCACCTGCAACTGGTTGAAAATTCTGCAACTCTGCAACTTGGGAGATTGCTACCTGGGTTGCTGTAATTTTTATGAAAAGAAAAGTATTAATATTTAACAATTAATTATTTAAATGTTTATTTTGTTGAAAAAAATATACATTGATAGTGTACATTTTCTGTGCTTAACATCCATGTGACCCTAAGTCTGGACAAAAGATCCCTTTCTATGAGTTTGGCTGGTATATCCCAAAGGCATCCCCTATCTTGTCAGTGGCATGCCTACTCACCAACAACCCTACCCCATTTACTAAAATAACAAATTCAGTTGGACAAATAAAAATTAGAGACAAGCAGAAAATTTGGGGAAATGATTAATTTATAACATACCAAACAAAATCCAAACCATTTTTATGACTTTTTTCTTGTTGGCCATATTGCTGACAAAGATGTATATAATCGTGTGATAATTTTAACCTACTGGACAGAGAACTTATTGAGCAAAAACCATCCAGTCCTCTACCCAAAATTATAAATTGATTAAACAGAGCATTTACGAAAATGATTATACAAAACAAACACTATTTTACAACTTTCCTCTTAGCATCAGAGCCCAAATGCAATTTCAGGGCCAACCAACCCTCTCTGAATTGTGACCTCCTGTGCTTGAAACGAGCTGCAGATTCTCTTAATATTCCTCCAGAGTTGCGACTTGGTCACAGAGCCATCCTTACCCTAGAGGCAGGATCGTTGCAGTCGACTTTTCATCCAACATGCCAGCGACCGTCTCTGGTCTTGGAAGATTAGTGAAAGCGTCATTGTGGTGCAGTCTCGGTAAACTCCAGGGCCATGCTACCTCCCCCCTGGAGTTCGGTTGCATCATTGTATCATCGGGGGGCGCAAGTCAGATTAGCCTTGTGTACACGAGGAACGTGTGAGAATGACTTTAATGTGTTCAAGTGCTTCAACGTTTGCCAATTTCCAATAATCAAACGTTGTATATCAAATATGTTTCTTATGTAACAGTGTGCTGCCTTGACATCTTGTAATTATAATAATATAATAATATTATTATTGATTACGCAAAGCCAAATATTATCAATATTATCAATGTAAATCTTGTAATTACCCAACAAGATCTGTTCCGCGTTTTGATTTCCAATTAAAATATTTATAAACTAAAATAAAAATATCAATACAAGTAAAAAAGAGTACCTCTGGTTAGTTATTAACGCTTCTTCTTTAGGAGACCCAAACCAAATCAAACAAAAACACTCACGTTTTGTCACCTTGGACTCTGTCAAAAAATAAATTGTTTTTTTGTTTTTCCAAAAACAAAAAAAAAAAAAAAAAAAAAAAATCAATTCGCGTCTGTCCTACCAAAAAAAAATCCAATAGGATAAATAATTAATGTGTAACATGTCGAACAAACTTTTTTTCAGATTTTAATTAAAGAATGCCACCAAAGAAAGATTCCAAGAAAAGAAGCGTAAATAAAGCTATAGCAGATGATCATGGGTAAGCGTTTTAAGGATCGTGGTGGTGGTTATCGCCCGCCACTCGTCGTCACTCTAGTTTTTTTAAAAAAATAACCGCCATTATTTTTATTGCTTTTGCAAATTAGTTCAAATTCGTCATTTCTTTTCAATACTGAAAACATCAATACACCATCGTTTGGTGGGGTAAGAGATCTATTACATTTGTGTTATTTGGATGAATGAAATATTAATTTAACATATTTAATATATTAGAATGGATTATTTTTATCAGATGATATTACGATATATAGTATTTTATATCCTTTATTTCAAAAAGTATCTCAACGGTATTATGCTTTATCAATATACTTGTATTGCATATTTGAATAAATTTTTATTGATATTTATTTTTTTAAAAAAAACAGAAATGTCCTAAAAATAGGAATCTTAGATCTTAATGATTCAATATTTGATAAATCACCTTTTGATGCAATTAAAAATCGATTTGTTAAAAACTTGGATCAATATATTCAATCAATTAACATAAATCAAGAAATAAGGGATCGAATTATTGCATTATCAAGTAGTGATTCATTTGAAAAGATCGAAATAATGTTGAAAAAATTCTTTTCTATGGATTCATTATTTAGTACTGAATTCAACTCAGCAATGCTAGTCTTTGTTACGAGTTTTTTTAAATATATGTAAGTTTTCTATATTTGCATTCACATTAGCTTCACAAAATGATAAGATTCATTCCCATTTAAATAGGTTAAGATTGTTTAATTTGAATTGAGAATATTTTCTGCTTAATTTATCTGAGAATCACATCACTCGAACAGTTTTCTTAAATATCTTCATAGACTTGTTTTATGATAACAATAAATATAGAGTGACTGGTCAAAAGTAGGTAGCTAATTCATCATAATAGTGTATCATTGTTATGATTATTAAAAATGTTTTCCTTTTTTAGGGCTCTCCGTGCTAATAAATATAGGCGTAATGATTTAAATGATGCTGATTCTAATGTCAAAAAAGCCTTGATCCCTGATATTAAAATCGAATTTCTGAGGAAGAACCTTGAAATAGTAACTGTTGAACAAGCAAAATCAGAAGACGTGAAAAAGGAGAAAAATGATACAACAAAATTGTGCACTTGTTTACATGACATGATTCGACAGGTTTATAATATACTTCCTCAGTCTATGAAAGGCTCTATTCGAAATATCAAAGTATTTGGTTTGATAATATCTCGTAAGTTTCTTTTTATGGCAATGGCACACTTTCTAATTGCATTAAGATATAATAGGTAATTTATGAATATTTTTCATGTAGGAGTTGATGTGACTATTTATGAACTTGAATTGCCTGAGCAACAATTATATGTGTTCCGGGAATTGTGTAGTTTTTCATTACCATTGACATTTGCTGATTTTCGATCAATGCTTGAAGTGACTATGAATTTCATAAAATTCAGGGTACATACATATTATTTTTTAGTGTTAAACTGAACAAAGAACTTACTCTTATATTTATATATTTATTTTAGAAATTGGTGGATGATAACTTGGAAAAAATGGAAGCCGCGTTGGTCATTGACTTGAATAAAGCTAAATCTTCACCATTATCCTCACATGTTGACGATGAGAATACTAATTTTTACAGAGATACAACACCACCACCACAATCAGGGAAAAAATGGCTTGTGAATATTGAGATATCGCCTAGCTCTAAGAGTCTTAAATCACCTATTATTAGGGAAAGTCTTAAAAGGTCACATGAGGATTGATATTACTAATTATATACATAATTTCTTTCTATTTGCTTTAAATTGATTGATTTCATTCACTATATATATTTTATTTATATTTAATGTTGAATACAATATATCTTTGATTGTGAATGCATGTTTTACCCTTTTAAAAAAGAAATTCACAAAAAAGTATGTAGACTAAAAATAGCAATAAAGTAAAAACTATTTGATAATTTATCAATTATCTTACATGAAGAATATTGATTGGTTAAGAAATGAGAAACAAGAAGTGATGAAAAAAATGAAAGATGTTTTTAAAACCACTATGCTTTTTGATCCCTGAAATCCTTGGTAACACCAATGTTCACTTTGTCTGGTTTTGTTGCAGCATGCCCCATATAATATTTATATATAATATTTGTATTAGATATAATGATGATATTGGATTGGAAGATGCAGTTCATACTTCAATTTTAACATTAAAAGAAGGATTTGAAGGACAAATGACTGAAAATTCTATTGAAATTGGAATTATTGGTGGTGATACAACAGGATTTATGGAAGGCAAGGAACAACCATTATTTAGAAAATTGTCTCCTTCAGAAGTTAAAGATTATTTGGCTAATATAGCTTAATATAATAATCTATAAAAATAATCTTATATTATTTAATAAGTATAAGAAAATTAAAATATGCACACCAATAATTATTTTTCTGATGTTAATGTTTGTTTTCCTAAAAGTTGAGAATCTTTTTCTTTACATTTTTCATCCTGATTTATATTTGTTTTATTTCTTTGATATATTATTTATTGATGTGGGAAAATACTGTTATAAACGACTAAAATAATGAGTTCCACATAATATTATTGTTAATTACATTAACAAGTAGCAATGCTTCTAATTCTAATAATATATTTTTTTTGGGTGGGTGTTTGAATACAAAATTCTGATTGGCTAATTTGAATTTCACGCGCGTGAAATTCAAATTGACGCAGATTCCAAAATCACGCACAACAGTCAGACTTTCCTCACTCAACAAAAAAAAAACATCTTATTGATTAAAAGCTGTTCATTTTAAAATGAGTAATTATAATGAGAGTATACAACCATGGGTTGAAAAATAGTGAGTTACATTACCTTTAATGTAAAATAAAGGATAATTGGATAAAATATAGTTAACATTTACTTTTTTTCAAGTCGCCCAAAAGACATTGATAGCGTTAGCTCACAAGAACAAACTATTGCGGTTTTAAAAACAACACTCAAGTCACAAAATGTAAGAAATTTGTTTAAAAGACACATTTTGTATAATTTTTTTTTAGTTTATTATATAAATTAATTGAATCTATCAATTTAAATAAATAGTTGCCACATATGTTGTTTTATGGACCTCCAGGAACTGGAAAAACTTCAACAATATTAGCTTTAGCTCATGAATTGTTTGGGTAAAAAAAAAAATTGTATATTTTTGAATCAAATTATACATGAATCTTTTATGTTTATTTACACAATTATGGTTGGTTTATCATCAGTCCAGAATTAATGAAAAGTCGTGTTTTGGAATTGAATGCATCAGATGAACGTGGAATTCAAGTTATTAGGGAAAAGGTAAAAAATTTTGCACGTGCAACAGTTAGTCGACATGTAAGGTGATTAGAATTTATTTAATGAAAGCAATTAATTTATTAGATTAAAAATTCAGAGTAATGGTTTTAACATGATCTGGAAATTTTTTTTTACCTACATATGGTTAATAATAAGCGAATATCCTTGTCCACCTTACAAAATCATTATACTGGATGAAGCTGATTCATTGACACATGATGCTCAAACAGCTTTAAGACGCATAATGGAAAACTATTCTAGAATCACTCGTTTCTGTTTGATTTGTAATTATGTTAGCCGGTAATTAAATTTAATATACATTCACTAATTGTTTCCCCCCAAAAAAATTATTTTTCAAATATAAATATACATTATTAAAAAAATTCATTTAAAGTATAATAGAACCATTGACTTCTCGTTGTGCAAAATTTCGATTTAAACCACTGGATATTTCAAGTGCCAAAAAACGAATTGAACATATTTGTGAAAATGAAAATATTAATTATGATCCCAAGGTAATAATACTATTATTATAAAGAAATAAATCCATACAAAGTTAATGCTTGATGAAATATTTAGGTTTAATGCTTTCCCTTTAATTACCAAATAGGCTATAGATGAGATTCTTAAAATATCTAATGGTGATTTGAGAAAATCTATAATGTTTCTTCAAAGTGCAGCCAGATTACATCAAAATGAAAGAATTACTGCTGATTCAATTTTAGAAATTGGAGGGGTAAATTAATTATTGATTTATAAATTTTAATTTTAATATTTTTTGTACTATTTGCTGAAAATTTTCAAATAGGTTGTGCCAGATGATATTATTGACAAATTGATTGAGACTGCTTATATGCCTATAAATGACGAATCATTAAATTTGATAGATAATATTATTGCATCAGGATTTTCTGCTGTTCAAATAATGTCACAGGTAAAAAAAATAAATATATTATTAATATGTATAAATTCATCTATTAAATAAATAAATAAATTTTTTTTTGTATTTTAGATTTGTGATAAAGTAGTAGTTGATGAACAACTAAACAATGATCAGAAAGCTTGTATAGGAGAGGTTTTAGGCGAAATTGATAAAGAATTATGTGATGGAGCTGATGATAATTTTCAACTAATGAAACTGCTTATAAATTTTTCTGAAATTGTAAATCAATAAAAAATTACTACAGAATATATATATTAATTAATGTATATTTGTTGATCTTTTTATTTTAGAGGATAATAAAAACTTGAGAAAAATAAATTACATAATATATATCAGTAACTTGAAAATGCAGCATAAAAATATCAAATATTGAAGATTGAGTATCAATTTTTTTCTGTGTTATTATCTTCATAAGTTTTTCTGTCAATTTGAGATGAGGTGACTGAATCATAAGCTGGTACCAAAGATACAGTGTAAGCTGGAATAGAAGTATATTAAATAACATAATAAGAATTTGGTGTTATTTCACTATATTTTTCATCCATCTTAAGTTTTTGATAATAAGCCCATACTGCCATATAGAAATATTTTCAAAATAAATAAATAATAAATCTATATCAATAAAACAAGGTACTCATAGACAAGTAACTATAGTGAACATATCTACCTCAGATTGTTTCAGTGAGTTTCATAAATATCTTTGTCATAATAAAATGCTACAATATTGATAAAGAGAACCTTAACAAAAGTTGCCACCAATAAAAATAAACTTTAACACAGTTAACTTTATTTTATATAAAAGGAAAATAAATTTAAACTATTTAGTTATTCATTTGTTCCATTCATATCACTCCGATGATGCCAGTAATGCAAATAAGCAAGGTTCCTAAATATATGTAGATAAAATAACCTAATTTTCCTGCCAAAGGCAAAAAATGATATGCATTGAACAAATATGTCAACTAATTGGATAAATGAATCAAAAGAATGTAATTTATTCAGACTCTTAAACTCTTGCCTGTAATGCTTCTCAAAATTAACATGAAACACCAGTATTGACATCACTGGGGATGTACCAAGCTTCATAGAGACTAGCTAAAAACTCATTGTCTTCTACTCAAAACCAAGATTAATAAAATCATCTCCTTGAGTAGAATAATAGTATTGAATGTAAAATTAGATTTGATAGTATTGGTGATGATGGTGGTGTGAGGAAAATGGTAATATTAATTCTGTGGAATTTGTTATACATATAAATAAAAATATCATGTATGTATATTCCTTGCACCATTGTCTCTATTCCACAAAGTCGAACAAACATTTTTACAAGCTTTGAGAGCATGGATGCATTGTGATTTTTGGAAGACACAAAGAACATATCTCAAAAAACCAATAGAATAGAGAATCAACATATTTCTGAAACCAAATCAACAAAAACATGTCACAAAAATTTATTTCTACTGCAAAAACATAGTGAATTTTGCAATGAATCTAATTTAATAAAGCTCATTACATTTTGGCATAGTAATATTAATATTTGCTTTTCCTAATGCTTTACACAAGTGATGTTGTCATTATGCCAGAAAC